TCCCAGGATTCAGTTTCAGGATTTGGGCTGAGCCACAGTCCCCCCTGGTGTTCTCCAGACCAGCACCACCAAGTGCTTTAGTAAGCGGGGTTTCTTCTCCCATTGGGTCATTGTTCTTCCTGCACATAGCCCACTGTCAGCTGCCTGGAGGGGAGGCGAGCGGCACCCAGGGCCCCAGCAATGACTGTCACATACAAACTGCCGTGTCACACCCAGCTTCCGTGCTCACACACGTGGCCTGTGCCTCGCCGCAAGTCCAGGGTGCTAGGCCCGTGTATCAGGCGAGGAATCAGGGCCAGCTGATGGTGCTTGCAGCAGCTAGTCAGAGGCCAAGCGAGGCTCGGGGCCAGGTTGGGCGCGGGAACAACAGTGGGAGGGCTGCAGGCTTCCGGTCGGGCAGCCGTGTTTGCACCCGCCCCCAGCCTGGCCTTCTGATGCAGCCTGTGTGCACGTGGGGAGCTCCCCCTGACTGTGTCCTTCTGCTCCCACATGGCTTTTCATTCCCCTCTGCTGCTGCTCTCAGTCCCTCCCGCCCTACAATGCCAACCCCATTTTCTTCAAGAATGTTGCTATTTGGATCAGAGAATGAATTCAGCATCAGCCCAAGGGAGGGGAGCTTTAGAACAAGAATCCCCATCTGGCCCCCATGAAGAAAAGGGGCAGGGTTGGGGAGGAGCTCCCCGCAGGGGGACCCCTGCCCCCAGCCTCCATTGTTAGGCAAGCACGGTCCTGGGGGTGGGGTGGATTGAATGCAAATTGAATTAAGTCTCCATCTGTTAGTTTATTCATTGCAGGGTTTTCTTTTTCTTTTTCTTTTTTCTTTTTTGGACTCCCCCAGTTTCAAACCTGCTAATGAGGGGATCAAGTAGCATTAGGGGCTGTGGGCCGGAGGCAGCTCCTCCCCTGGGAGCTCTGGCATCTCCAAGGGGCGCGTGGACCCCCCTCTCCCTCCGGATTCCTGCTGCCTCAAGCCTCCCAGAAAAAATGCCCAGGCTGTTGGTCCAAAATACATATTCACATGACGGCATTAGCAGGCTGCTCATTTTAAGTTCAGTTCCATCCCCGGTCCCACCGTCCGGGGTCCCCAGTGCGGGCTGTGGTGAGAGGGCCTGGCTGGGTGGAGGGATGCACAGCTGGTCATGTGGGACGGCGGGCTCTGGAGACGGAATTCTCGGCAGCAGCCCCCAGGCTCAGCCCAGAGACCCCAGACGGCAGTAGGGCCTCACCTCGGGGGAAGGTGCCCCGCTTCTGTCACAGTGCTGGGAAAGCCCGGCCTTAGTTGCTGGAAAGTGTGGCTGTGGGGAGAGACAGGAGGAGGTATGGACCCTGGAACAGCTGTGAAAACACGAGCAACAATAAGGAAAACAATCCAGGCCACTTATTGACCCTCAGTATATCCATTGTCCACATTTTAATTCTCATCCTATCAAATCTTTAAAGATAAATGGTATCATATTTGGAACTCCCAAAGTACAGCTCTCTGGAAATGTAACTCTAATAGGCCACCCAAAAAAGGCAGGGGAGTGGAGGGCACAGAAGGATGCTGATTTATGCAATGAAAAGTACCCAAATCGGGGTTTTCAGTGTCAACAGCTCAAACGGTATCTTTGGGACTTGATATCTGCCTCCCTCTGCTCTGCTTTCGCCTTTTGGACTCACCCTGAGACAGCCGGTCTGGCTCTGGTAGCTCCCAGCGGCTCCGGACTTTGACATCCAGGAGGAAATAAAGTCCTCTTTCTCAATGATTTGAATTCAGGTCCTGGGCCTGACTTTTGTTGGTGATCATAAGGCTGTGTGTCTTGCCAGTGGGTTTCAGCCCTGGGGCAAATTCACTCTTGATTCAGTGAGACTGAAAATTGATGGTAGAACATTCTTGGGGTGAAAGGGTTTATACCCAACTTTATTCCCATGGTGGCAGGTCACTCCCTAGAATCCCGTCCACTCAGAGCAAGTCTGCACACAGCAGGCCAGTCTCTGCCTCTGGGCCTCTTGGCCCCCACAGCTGTCTCAGTCTCTAGCCTCTGCTCACCTGCAGCCTCACAGCCCTGCAGCCCAGAGCGCCGGACAAGCTCTTTATATAGAGTCAGTAACAACGTATTGCCCACACCTGTGCAGTGAGCAAGCCGACCAGGGCCAGGTGAGAATCCTGGCCATAGGAACTTCATTTTCTCTACACTGAGTCATGTGATTCTCTAATACCCCCCCCTGCAGACAGCACACCCTACAGGTGAGGGAAACATACTCAGATGGGCAGGGCATTTCCCTAGGGTCTTAAAGCTTAATTGGTATTCACATTCAATCCCTGAATTCAAACCTCAAGTTGACCATCTCCAAAGCCATTACTTCATGTCGTCCTTCCTTTTATATTGAGCATGAAGGGGAATGGGAGATAGAAAAGCAAGGGGTGTTAGGAGCAGAGAAATATGTACAAAAGAAAAACTGTCCTGACTTAATGCAGGCGAATTTCTAAAATACTCTGGCGTAGTGCAAACATGTCACGGCAGAGGGGGAACCCCACCAGTCCACTGGGATCAACCACCTCATGCTGGAAGTAAGTGGTTTTATAGTCTAGAACAAGAGGGGGCCTCAGGAGACATCAGGGCACCTGGGCTTATAGGAACCACCTGTGCAGTGCCTCTTCCTCCTCTTAGCGCCCCTCGTAGGCTCAGAGGGCTGTGTGCTACCCAGGGGTGGCAGGAGCGCTCCTGCCCTGAAGAGGGGTGTGCATGTGTGTATTAATGTGAGAAGAAAAATCATGCATTGATTTTGTAATTGTCTGCGTCTCCGCTATTGTCTTGGCCACTGAGGTCCCATAAATATCCCCCCATCTCTAATGCCAGTGCTGCTTCAGCTGAGTGAGTCACAACAGGAGGCTGGGGCTCTTTCAGCCCCGTCTCCACTGCATCCCCCCCATGCGTCCCTTAGAAGCACCCCCTGGCTAACCTAAGATGGGGGGTATGGGATAGCTACAGAATAACAGAAAATCTGAGGAGCTAGGCTTCAGGAGGTGCAGAAAGCTGGACCACTCCAGGGGCAGAGGAGGTGAGATGCAAGCACGGCACCCAGCCGGGAGGGCAAATCCCAGCAGAGTCCATCTGCTTTCTGCTCCACAGCCTGGCCTCCCTGTGCAGGATTCTGTCTGCCTTAAAAAAGGAGAGAAAGATGCCTTGGTTCTCTTATCTGCGCACCTTTTCTGAGCATCACAAAGGGCCTGCAGTGGCCCTGGGAGTGGAGGAAACAGTCTTCCCAGGCTGCTGCCATCAGAAATACATCAGCTGCAACAATTTCTGACCTTCCACAGTTCCACTCACGGTTTGGATTGTAAGGAGAGACTGCTTAGCTTGAGCCCCTGGTACAGCCTCGTGAAGACTGCATGGCATCGGGAGTGGGTGGGGTGGGGTGGGAGGAGGGAGAGACCCCCGGAGAGGCTCAGCATGCTCTATCAGAAGGGCAGACAAAGCCAACAGGGGCCCACCTTACCCCACAGCTGAATGGGAAGCGAGCGTTCCCTTCCTCCTCAATGCTGCCATGTCACCAGGTGCCAGAAGGAGCCATCCACGCTGAATCCCACGTGTGTGGCGCCCCCTGCAGTTGTGCAAACAGACTTATCCTTTCCCCACACACCCCCTGTCTTCCTGGTCTTTTTAGTGGAATACACACAGGCGACAGCTTTGTGTTCTCAATCCATTTGCTGAAGGGCCAGGTGGGTCTTTCAGCCCAGGGCGATGTAGGCGGGCCCAGAATCATGACCCTCTTATCTCACTCACTCCTTTTTATCACCCAAGGACAGGAGGCTCAGGTCCTCAGAAGAAGTTGGTCCCACTTGGATACTCCCCTGGAAACCCCCACCTGCCTCAAGTCCTCCGACTTGCACCCCGTACCCCTCCCTCCAAAAGCACCCCTGCCCTCATGAAGGAACGTCCTGCAATCCCAGAGCCTATACTTCAGGTTATGCTCTCTGTGCGGGTGGAAGCACAGAGCACTCTGATTCCAGTCGGCTGGTCTGGACCGGCTCCTTACGTTGTCTTAGGAGCGAATCCCAGAAGTGAGTGCTGTCTCCCCACTCCTTTGACCTCCCCTAAGACAAGCAGAGCCTTCCCATTTAGTGCCTTTTGACCTTGGACCTCCCTCTTACGTGCCTTTGACCGTGTGCCTTGCAGAAAGCTTATGCTGAATTGCTGTGCTGAGCAGCTGTGACCCCTTTCTGGGCCTGGCTTATGTCAGAAGGGCCATCATATTAGCCCCGAGTGGCTGTGCCCGGGCCTCCGGGATGGCAGAAACTAGCTCCCGTCAGCCTCCTTCCAATCCTGCAACCCTTTCCCGGTGGAAGCCGGCGGGGGCCGGTCTCTGTTCACCCCCACACCACACACACTGTGGTTCAGTTCAGGTCCACCCACTCCTGAGTCTTCCAGCGATTGACGTGATGTTCTCTCTGTCCCAGCCTCTAGCTTGACCTTTACACTTGATTCGAATTTACTTTCTTGGTGCCACCAGGCACCTCTTCTGCGAGTCTTCTGCCCCCAGGGAGAGGCAGCACGGGGGCCCTGGCCGCCCTTGGCCAGGCTGATGGGTCGGGTGGGGTGGAAGAGAAGGGCTAGTGCTGGAAGCAGGCGCCGCGAAGGCCCCGCGGGTGCAGGGGGCAGGCTGGGCGGAGCCTCTCGGACCTGCACGGCCCCTGGGCTGGGGCTGCCGCTCCGGAGCTCGGCCTCCACCGCGTCCCAGAGCCGACAAGAAGGGCTGGGAGGGCAGGGCGAGGGAGAGCCGCGGGCCCCGGGCAGGGGACACGGACACACGGGGGCCGCCCGCCCAGCCCCGGCCAGAGCCCGTGATTCCCGTCGCCCCCGCAGGGAGCTCCAGGGAGGTGGGTCCTCCTGGGCACAGGCCCGTGGGCTCCGGGACCGCGCGGTAGAGCTGGAAACGCCGGCCCAGGGAGGAGGGCAACCAGCCAGGCCCAGCGCCCAGGAGCTCGACTCAATCCTGGGCAGGGTCAGCCCGGAGCGATGGGCAGACGGGGGACAGGGCAGGGGCCGCGCACGGGCTCTTCGCTCGCACGGCCCCCTCGGTGAGCCCAGCATCCCGGGTACCCCAGCTGCCGTCAAGGTCGGGACGCCCCGGCGGCTCTCCGGGGCTCGGTGTCTCCTATCCTGCTAGGCCTCTCTCTGCGGGCATCCCAGTCGCGGCCCATTCCCCAGGGTCCCAGCTGAGCACCCGCCCCCAGACCTTCAGAGCCGAGCACGTCGCCACCCACGCGGGGCTGCCCAAGGCAGGGACCTCGGTGCTGTCCCCGGCTCCTCCCTCGTCCTCCCCGGGCAGTTGCCGATCCTACCTCCTGAGTGTCCACCACCCCAGCACCCCGCCTCCAGCCCTACAGCTGCAGCTCACTTGAGGCCTCGTGCCCAGTCACCACGGCAGCCTCGAGCTGCCCTCGAGCCCTCAGCCACCACTCCTGCCCTGGACGGTCTCACCTCCCACGCCAGCCCTGTGCTCAAGGGCCCTACAGTGGCCCCGTTGGCAGCGACGCAGTCCAAGCTCGAGCTGTGCCCACCCCGCATCTGGAATCCACCCCAGCCTCTCCAGCTTCGTTCCTTTCCACCACCTGCTCCAGATCTCACACTCCCTGAGCACAAGCACGTGGGCTGTCCCTTCCCCGCACCTCCTGCGCCACCTCCGCGCATTGCTCCCTGTGACCTCTCGGGCTCAGCTCAGCACCCACCCCCATGACCCCTTCCTTATCCACCCCGCATCACTTCACCACAGATGCAATGTGTTGTTTTTTTTTTTTTGAGAGGGCATCTCTCATATTTATTGATCAATTGGTTGTTAACAACAATAAAATTCTGTACAGGGAACTCAATGCACAATCATTAATCAACCCCAAGCCTAAATTTCAACAGTCTCTAATCTTCTGAAGCCTAACAAACAAGGTCTTACATGGTGAATAAGTTCTTACGTGGTGAGCACTGCAAGGGCAGTCATCACAGGAACGTTCGGTTTTGATAACGCATCATGAGCTATAAACAATCAGGTCAGATACGATTATTCTTTTGATTTTTATACTTGATTTGTATTGATGTAATGTGTTTTTAAAAAGAGATTTTAAACAGATTAAAAGAAGCAACAAAAGCAAAAATGGATGGAACAACATCAGGGAAAAGCCTCTCCACAGAAAAGGAGCCAGCGGCAGAACGGAAGGCGCCCACAGAAGGGGAGAAAATGTTCGCAGACTTTCTACCTGATGGAGGGCTAATATCCAAATGTGTAAAGAACCCTCACAACTCAACAGCAAATGAAAAACCAATTTTAAAATGGGAAAAAGACATGAAAGACATAAACAGACATTTTTTTTAAAAAAAGACATACAAATGGCCAATAAGCACATGAAAAAGTGCTCAAAATCTGTAATCGCCAGGGACTGCGGATGTAAAACTCGATGAGACACCGCCTCGCACCTGTTAGGATGGTGGCCATCAAAAAGGCAGCTGCTGGCGAGATGTGGGGACGGGAAGCCTTGCGCACCCTGGGTGGGGCAGAAACCGCTGCGGCCTCTGTGGAAAGCTGTGTGCAGGCTCCTCAAGAGGTCAGAACAGACACAGCACGTGATCCAGCGGTTCCGCTCCTGGGTGTGTGCCCAGAGGAAACAGGAACAGGATCTGGAGACACCTGCTCCCCCGTGTTCACTGCGACAGTATCCATGACAGCCAGACTCGGAGGCAGCCTAAGGGGCCATTGGAGGGAGAATGGGTAAGGACATGGTATCGCACGTGTCACGTATGTACAGGTGTATTGCATGCCCGCACATACACATTATAAACTATGCACACATGTAAATATATATCATACACCTACATACACATATATTACATGCCACACACAAAAATATATCATATACCACACATATGTACACATATATTATATACACATATACGTATGTTACATACCACACACATGTATGTATGTATTATATATCATGCAGGCCACAAGCATGCATACACATATATACACATATACACGTATGTTATATGTACACATACACATTTATATGTCACACACATATATATATATATTCTATACACCCCCTACATACACATATATATACACATACCACACATACACACATGCATGCACTACATGTAATGGAATACTGCTCGGCCACGAGTAAGAAGGAATCCCGCCATCTGTGACAGCTCAGATGGGCCCTGAGGGCACCATGCTTAGTGAAATAAGTCAGGCAGAGAAAAGCAGATAATACAGGATCTCATTTACATGTGGTATCTTTAAAAAGTTAAACTCAGAAACAAAGAGTGTATTGGTAATTACCAGGGTTGGGTGGGGTGAAGGAAATGGGGCGATACTGGTCAGAAGGTCAAGCTGCCAGTTGTAAGGTTAACAGTTCTGGGGTGCACAGCTTGGTGGTTATAGCTGAGAGTACCATGCCATAGACCGGGAAGTAGCTGAGGGTAGATCTCCCATGATCTCATGACAAAAAAGAAATGGCTATTATGTGATGGGACGGAAATGCCAGCTTAAGGGTGTGGCGATAATCATCACAATGTATGAGGGCATCGGATAAACACACTGCACACATCGGACTCACCCAGGCCGTGCGTCACTAAAACTGGGGAAATCAAGACTACTTCGGCCCCCCGTGGCCGCACACCCTCCTGGGCGCCCCGCCCTGTGCTGTCATTTGCTCAGTGCCTGTCTTTACTGTTGATCACACTGCATGCTGTTACGGTCATCTGACCTCCTAGCTTACCACCGATGAGTGTCCCTTGGAACGAGGAAGCCGTGTTCCATCCCCAAACCCCGCCCATAGTGGGCCTCAAATGAACTGTAAATAACTGTATTAATAAGTGATGAGTGAGTCCTTCAGCGTGTTTAATTCTCCTCCCGGACTTCTGAAGACTGTTCGGTGTGGTCCTTTCATACCCCCTTCCAGGGAGGCCAGTGTTCGGATCCTGGGCTCTGGACCAGGCACAGGTCAACCACCGTGGCGCCTCCCTTTACCAACCGTGGGAACCTGGGCAAGTTACTCAACCCCTCTGGGCCTCACTCGCCCCATCTGCAAAATGAGGATCATGATGGAATCTACCCTGCCGTTATTGTGAGGATGAAACAAGGTAATGTGTGGCCCTGTGCTTGACACATAGTAAGCGCTCAAAACACCCTGGCCAGGCTCGCCCCTCCTCCAGACTGCTTCCTCTCTTCCAGCCTATTTACTCTGAAGTTGGGAGGAGGGTAAATGCTGAGTGTGACATGCTGCTAATTAGATGACGGAGGCTGGGAACAGACCGGATCTCCGTAGCGCATCTTTAGCCTGAGGTTTCTGCTTTGGTTCCAAGGAAACATTGAAAGAGAAGGAAGGGGCTTCTTAGCGATTCTGTCTTTATTTCCAGAGGAAAGTGTCAACGGGACGCACAGCTGCAGTTAGAGCACTAGGCCACTGGGCCCGCAGGGAAGGGTGCTGCCTGCGCACTGCAGAGGGGCCGCACCACCAGCAGATCTCATTAATGCTAGCAGCCTTTGTGCAGCTAATTAGCAGCATATCACACTCAGCATTTGCCCTTGTGTGCGACAAAGTTCCACTTTCTCCTTGGGAAGCAGGCTGGCTCATGGCAAGGAAAACAGCTTCATTCGTGCCTGGTGGGCTGGATGGAGGACAGCAGAGAGGGTCGGTGTCCTGGGGCAGGGAGGGAGGGAGCGCATGCCTCTCATTCCAGTCCGGGTGGAGCGTGAGTCCCCACCAATGAGGGTGCCGTTTCATGACTCAGCCAAGCGACTGTCAGCCCAGTGGTCCCTCCACAACGGCTACACGCCCGCTCTGCTTGGTGCCTCGGCCGGCGTGGCTCCCTGACCTCAATGCTGGTGCCTCCTCACCCAGGAGCTGGGAGAAGGGCTGAATCACCAGGGAAGGGCCTACTTGGAGGCCCGTTCTGGCAGGAAGTTCCCGGTGACCTGCCCACGTAGTGGGCTCGAAGCTGAGCCGGGCCTGTGCCCAGAGCTGGGACACAAAGATAGACAAGATGGGGTCTGCACGGGGGGCTCATGTGAAGAGGTCCTGCAGCAACAGGCTCCCCCTGACCACAGGGTACTGCAGGGTGGAGTGAAGGGGAGAGGACGCCCGGGCTGGCCAGGGGGTCACCACGGGCTTCACACAGGAGGAAGCCAGGGAGGCATAGATGGCAGGCCCGTCTCTACCGGGGAAGCCTGCCCCCTCCACAGCCCGGGCCCCCGGCCCTGAAGCCACAGACTTGGGATTTGAGGAAGCGCCCCAGCCCTGAGCCCCCGTCCCCATGACATGGTGCAGACAGGCCACCTTGGGGATCAGATGCGTCTTGGAGAACAGCAGGCTCATAATCACCTGTTGGCAGGGACCTGGGCTTGCTTCCTCTCAGCCACCCTCAGCATCCTCAGCCCCTGAGACCCTCCCCAGCTCCCAGCCGCCACGGGCTCCACAGTAAGTGCTGATGATACAGAAGATCAAGGGGCCAGTGGCCTCCCATCCCGTGCGAGAGATGGGCTATCCCCCAGACTTGCATGTGGAAGCCTAACCCCAATGTGATGGTGACAGAGGAGGTGGTTAGCTAATGAGGATGCAGCCCTCACGAAGGGATTTGTGCCTGTGTAAGAGAAACCCCAGAGATCTCTCGCCCTCTCCCCTCTGCGTGAGGATGCAAGGAGCAGGCGGCCTTCTGCAGCCCAGAAGAGGGGGCCACCAGAACCTGACCCTGCTGGCACCTTGACCTCGGACCTCCAGTCTCCAGAACCCTGAGAAATAAATTTCTATTGTTTATAAGCCTCCCAGTGTATAAGCCACAGTACTTCTGTTTAGCAGCCTGAACTAAGATGAGATCCAGTCTCACGATGAATCCTTCCACCCTGTGTAGGGGCTGCATGGCCAAGGGCCGCCCTGAGTTCAGTGGAGTTCCTGGCCCACTACCAGTGCTGTCCAAGCAGAAGCCATCCTGGGACCGTGCAGAGCACCAGGAGGGCCCGTCCGGCACCCGTGGAGCTGGCAGGGGTGGGACGTCTGTGCTTTGAGGCAGGGCTGAGGCCAGAGAATCACCCCCTGCTGGGAGGTGGCCACAGAGCCAGCGGCCTCTCATCAATCGCAAGGAGCTGCCCACCCACCCCTGACACACACACAGCACACGCCAGCCTCTCCTTACAGCTCTGCTCGCCAGCACGCCCCTGAGAGCTGCAGGGCAGGGCCGTCAGCAGGCCCACGGGCGGGCTGCCTGCCAGTCCTTCTGGTTTCGGGCTGAAGGAATGTGGAGCAAGCCACAGCGGCACAAGACCTGACGCTGGTCACTATCTCACGTCCACAGTGCAATGAGCCTACGAGGGATGGTGCAGGCCTGGCGCGGGGCTGGCTGGCCCCCGGGAGGGCATTCTCAGGAGTGCCATGGAATCCCAGGAGCTTGCCCTCCCCAGCTTGCTCACAGAACTGTCACACTACAGACGGATGCCCAGACCCCTGGAACTGGCTCCCAAGCATGCAAGGAGGCTGCCCAGCTGCCACAGGCTGGTGCCCACTTCAGGGCCCCTGCTTTCCCGGTCTCTCTGCTCTCATTCTCCCTCCGGGAGCCAAGGACCTTGTTTCAGTACAAAACTGGGCCAATAGCCAACAAAGAAACAGCCCTGGTGCTGTGCAAATTCTGCCCTGATAAGACCCCACCCATCCCCCACCAGCCTGGCCGGGGACATGCCCAGATTTACAG